ATTGAAGAGCAGTGTTTTCCGAGCTCCTACAGAAGAGATGAAGTTCTGAAACATAAAACCAGGACAGGTCCATACCCCAGGCTTCAAGTAACCCATGACTTTCATTCCCTCTGTTAATTCAGGAGCAAATGATCAGCGAGAACGAAAGCTGGGATTTAATTTCTTTTAGAGTGAAAATAAAACATCTATTGAAATTATACATGGAATTTTTGAAGCCCTCTTTGTTGATAGGCAGAAACTGACTCGTTCTGTATTCATACTTTCTGCCGAAACATGAACTAGTTGCACTCTTTCCCCAGCAGGCTTTCCTCTTTTATTAAGCTTGCAAATAACCTCAATTCTTGTGTAAAGGGAGGTCTCAAGCTGAAGCAGCAGCATTTACTTTACAAATTAGTAAAAAAAGCATTTACTTTACAAATTTAGCACACAAATTAGTGCTTGCCATAGCTTAAGAGTTTTCCACTGTCAGGACTTAATTCTTAACATTTATGGGAGAACAGGGTAGGAAAATGTCTCATGTTCCAGAAATCACAACGTACCTGTCTTGGTGTCCCTGTTCACATGCTTATTTCTAATTGGAGAGGTTAAGTTTCACAAATGAAATGAATCCTCTTCTCTTTCTGCAGCTGTTGATGAAGCTGTGCGGGTAATTACCGGAGGCCTACCTGAAATAGCTGTGGAAGGCAATGGACCTGTGGAAAACAATGCTATGCTCAACAAGGTTATTAAGAGGTCACACGAGGATTCGGATGACGATGAGGAGAAAGGATCTGTAGTTCCCCCTGTACATGACATTTACAGAGCACGACAGCAAAAGCGAATCCGGTGAAACAAGTCTGGAGTTCTGCTGTGATAGACAAAGACTTGCATTGAGTCCGTCAGTCTCTTAAAAGTCAGGCATTTAAAAGGGACAGCTGCAAACAAAAGTAAATCTTGAAAATGGTTTTGTTACTGTGGTGCCTCTTTTCTCCTATGGTTCTTGATCGGAAAACAGCCAGAACAACCTTAGAATGTGCTCTGAATAAATCGAGGTTTTCAGAACCAAAAGTGCAAAATGTCAAAACTGCATTTTGTTCCTCAAAGGTGTTCACATCTACCACTTGAAATCTGGTGGGTTCTCAACAGTTTTATTTTAAAAACTGGATGGCTTATACTTGTGAAGCATTTTTAATTCACATTTTCTGGAAAACAGTTGTTCTCAGTTTGTTCATGTAGTTCCTGCCTTATTGTTCATTTTTATTTATGGCAGAATGTATGGAATCTGTTTTGTAGTTGAAAATGGAAAGAAACATTCCTTTAAAATAAAAGGTTATCCATAACATCATGCCTCATTCTGGTTTTATTCAAACACAACAAGTTACTTCTTAAATATGACTCAGCCACTTCAAAAGCAATGTTATTAAGACCATCACAGGAAATTGATCAGAGCATACATATTAGAATTAGCTTTTTTTCCATTTTTTTCTAGAGGATACAGTATACTTTTGCTTTTAATTCCAGACTGTTTAAAGAAGACAGCATTGTAAGACAAACTCAGTACGTATTTCTAATGTGGATTGTCCAGGAGTACTAGCTCACACAGTCTGTTCCTGGATAACTGCATTGGTCTTCCACTTAAGGTACAAAGCTAAATGTTAATATATTAGCTACACAGTTTAACCTGGTATTATCAAACAAGCTAACAAAACCACTATATGAACTTTTGAAGCAGTTTCTATGCATACTGTAGATTTTTAACTTGTAACAGGCTATTCAGAACTGCAGTCATCATGCTGAGACCATAAGAATCCCTGCGGACTACAGGACATTCAGACACACAGATAGTCCCACCACCAGCAGCAGAGATGACACCAGTCAGTGCTCCTGTCTACTGGACTAAAAGGTGAAACAGCCTATGTGTAACCATAGAACTCTGTACCCATGGAGGTAAGGTCTGGCCTTATCTGTCACAGAATTTCTTCTTTGCTTTGCCACTTAATTGTATCTCCCTTTTTCTTTTAAAGAGGATGTAGAGAAACTATTTATCAACTGCTATCACTAAAAAAAAAAACCCAAAGCCACTAAGGTGATTTGCACTCATGGCATTTATTTCTGTCTCTAGATCTTTACTGCTGTAAGGCCCACAACACCCACCACTCATCGAGCCACTCACTCCCACTGCCTGTACCCCCAAAGGCAAAACTGGAGCCAGCAGCAGGTACTGCACTTCTCTCCATGTGAAGTCCTAGGATCAAGCCCCTGCAAGGAGAGCTGGGATGTACTGCATCAAGCCTGTAGCACAGTCTGTGCTTCAATGGCAGAGTAAGCAGGAACTGATGGTCATGGACATCTGGACTATGAATTCCTCAAGTGGGAGGAGCCATCTCCTGGACTGAGCAAGTACAAGTTTATCTATCTATAATGCAGTCCCAGTCTTCTACTTTTCAAAGGCTTTTCTAAATATGTTGTTTCACCACTATGTTGTTCCTCCCCACATCCTGGAGATCATCCCCTACAGCACCTAAATTTCTATAGTGTGTGTAATTCCTCAGGGGCCTGTAAAGGCAGCTTCTAGACAATGCTAAAATACAAAACAGCAGCAATGTGTAACTTCTGCAACTCTCATTTAACAAAAATGAAAACAGCTTTGTCTTTGTTATACATCTCTAGCAATAACATTTCTGTTAGCTCTTTCATTACACGGACAACTGAATTACCTTGTTGGAGCTGCAGAGCTATAGGCTGTATTTTGAGGTGGATCCTGCACTAATGACAAAGTACCGTAAGCAGATGCAGCAGTCTTGAAGACCTCTGTAGTATCCTGTGCTGATTCAGACAACAGTCCACACCAAAAACCTACTCAGAACTTACTTTTCTGGCTAACCAAACCTACTCATTTTTGAGTTATCAAAGAAAGAGTCAAAGACAGATCACATTTTACTATCCAAGTAACTTTAGCCAAAAGAAAAATAACTTGACTGAGCTGCTGATCTCTTACAGGGCTTTGGTGTGGGTTTTCCCTTGGGGAACAGGGTTTGTAATGAATGAGGAAAGATTTGGTTTATAGTTGCATAGGCTAACATGGAATAAATGATCTTACTTAACCCACCATCCTCCAAACTCAAAGTCAGTGCAGCTATATCCACACTGACAAATGAAAACTAGAAGGGGAAACGTCAGCACTGATTCATGATCCAGTGCTTCCTTCTAGAAGTTCTATTATTTTGATTGATAAAATGAACCTGGATGTGAGCAATAAAAGGCCCTCATTTATTTATTTTACATAACTTGTTGGTTTTGTGGCTTTTAAGACTCATTTATTTATTTTACATAACTTGTTGGTTTTGTGGCTTTTAAGACACCAGCGCATTCTCTTTTGGCTAGTCTAGTAGTACTTGGGACGCTTCCTGTTTCTAACTATGAACTTGGCTTTCATGAAATCATCAAATTTTGATGACTGAAGCACAGCACAGTGCTCAGCCAGAGGAAAATTGCAAATGTACTTCCCTCCTGGCTGAGTCTGAGAACTCAGTAAGGCTGTACGGTCACTGAGCTCCTCTGTGAACGCTCCTCTATACAACATGTAGCTAACACAGTTCAAGACCTGCAACTATTTTAAGTTTCAAGAACACCTCTACAAAGTGGAAAAAAATCTTCTTCTGAAAATATTCCCTGTATATTCAAACTGTCAGTAAATCATTCACTTCTCACAGTGCATCAAGATCACTTATACTTCCAATAGTGCTCTGCACTTCCTGGATAGTTTTGAAGATATGACTGAAAATGCAACCATCTCCACTTGTAGTTTTAAAAACACAAGTAAAATTTTCAGCCTAAAATGTCACACACTTGAAATCCGCCCTCAGAAAATGACAAAGTCCCTTGAAAATGAGTATTTCACATAAAAAGGAGTCAACTGCTAGCAAAAAAAAAAAAAAAAAGGTAAGAAATGCCACTTTTATCAAAACATTTTAGCTCTGCCCTTCTGAAGTCTTTACAAGAGATAAATACAGCTGCAATCTATAAGATTGCCACCTTTGGAAGTACTGTACATAGCAGAGGACAGTTACCCAATAACCAGAAAATTTACTACAAAAATATCACAGTATGCTAGAGATTGGAAGGGACCTCAAAAGATCATCTAGTCCAATCCCCCTGCCGGAGCAGGAACACCTAGATAAGGTTACACAGGAACGTGTCCAGGCGGGTTTTGAATGTCTCCAAGAAGGAGACTCCACAACCTCCCTGGGCAGCCTGTTCCAGTGTTCTGTCACCCTCACTGAGAAGAAGTTTCTTCTCAAGTTTAAGTGGAACCTCTTGTGTTCCAGTTTGTACCCATTTCCCCTTGTCCTTTCATTGTTTGCCACTGAGAAGAGCCTGGCTCCATCCTCGTGACACTCCCCCTTTATATATTTATATACACTAATAAGGTCACCCCTCAATCTCCTCTTCTCCAAACTATAGAGACCCAGCTCCCTCAGTCTTTCCTCATAAGGGAGATGCTCCACTCCCTTAATCATCTTAGTTACCCTGCGCTGGACTCTCTCTAGCAGGTCCCTGTCCTTCTTGAACTGAGGGGCCCAGAACTGGACACAAAATATATTATGTCTTGTGTAATTTCTGCAGGTAAACAGCAAAAAAATGCTATTAAAAATGCAGTAAAATGCAGAAAAAACTAGTAGCCTACCACACTAACCATAATGTTACAATAAAGTGCTGTTTGGCTTTGTTTTTGCCTCTTAAGGTTCCTCTTATCCAGAATTTTAGCTTTCTTCTTTGAAGTAAGATTTTTTGATTTTTTTTTATTTTTTAAGCCAAATCACCCCATAGCTAATCTGCTCTGGATTAATTACACTAAATTCACAGTAAATTAGAGTAAAATGCCCTAAAATGAGCCACTTACTTAAATACAAAGTTTGATTCTTAAACTTCTCCTACCTAGCACCAGCTGAAAAATTGCAGCCAGAAAACTACCAAAACATTCCCCCACCAAGGCTGCATACTTACATGAAAAATGCATGTCTCTCTCATCATTTATTTCAGAACCCCTTTTGGATCTCAGGTATTTTCCTCATCAGTCATCACTAATGAATTAAAAGGAACCAGTATTTACATGGGAAGCTGTTTTCCTAGACAAATATTGGTGCAAGTATTTAAAATAGCTGACAGTACCATACTGGTAGCATACAAACTGGTTTTAGGATTCTTCTGACTTCCCTGCAAGTTGGTATTCTTCCTTAGTCAGTATTTTGCCAAGGACTGCATCATAGTAAGGGCTGAAGACCATTTTGTTGTAGTTGACAAGACGAACATACTTGACAGCGATCTCTTCCAGCTCTTTTTGAATAGGGCCTAGTCCTCCAGGAACAGCAGGCAATGATTTCTGGTGAGTAGATGTAAGGTAATTCTCCAGAAACTTTTGAATTCGAGAATCTGGAAAAATTGGACCAAGGGTTTGGTTTGTTTTCAAAAGAGAGAGTCAATTAGAAATAGTGTAATACAGACAGACAAGTGGTCACTTGAGAACAGAGGGGTTTTGTCCAAGCATACCTATTAACTTGCATATGGTGTTATCCGAATTGGCCACCGCTTGGATTTGTCCTTTAAGTACAGTCTCTCGCTCAGCTGAGAGCGGTGTGAAGCCATGCTGAGAGAGGCAGGTGTTAACTTCAGCACACACCTTCTCACCCGTGGTAGCCAAAGATTCCTTCAGGTTAAAGGAGCTGGAGAAGGTGGAGCACAACGTTAGTGAACTACAGGAATTAGTTGCCTTTTTTTTCCCCACCTTTAGAAAATAAACTATAAAAATATATTTTTTACAGTTGGATATTTTATTATTGGATAAAAAAATATCCAATTATAGTTGCCTTATTTATCGAATATAATGGAAGAAGTGTAATCCAGATAAAGGCAGAACTATAAAGAATAATATATTTTATATATATGTATATATATATATGAAAAATAAAGTCGAGATGTAAAACCAGGAGGTAGAATAGACAGCATTAAAGATTTCTAGCCTGAACAATTCACACAAATAAGAGCTGACCTTCTGCCCTCACAGCCAGTTCTAATGCAAAAACCAACCATCAACCCATAATGTCTACAGCAATCATTCTGTATCTGCACACATCTTACTGTACCACACTCAAGTTTTTGAGGGACCTGGCACAAAGGGTAAGCATGGTTAGCTGCTGGTGCTCTCTTGTGCCAACAAGGCATCAAGGAAAACACTGAATAAAGGAGCACTCAGAGGTCACGAAAGAACACAGCAAGAAAAGATGGCTCTGTCTGAGTAAGCTGAATAAAAACTGTCAGCCTGGGCTCATAAAATGCCCTCATCCCTTCCTCTGACATATTCTACAGCCAGAAAGAGGCTTAAACTGATCATTTACTAGGGTGAGAACAGCTACGCCAGAGCCTGTGTGGACTATTCAGTACTCACGGCAGATGGATTCCCGTCAGCAGCACCTTGACAATGGTTTTGATTTTCTCAGCAAATCCAGGCATGTCAGCGAGTGCTGGGCCTGCTGCACTGAAGGTGACCAGAAGGACTGTCCCAGTCAAGAGGCACTGCTCCAGCTCCAGCTGTATTTCCTGAAAGCGGGTCTGGTCCATTAGCACCGTCTGCAAAGAATGAGGAAGCCAGCACACAGTGAAGTCAGCACACTGGGCTGTGATGTGACACTGCATTTCCCACCTAGCCACACCAGTGTCAGCAAGACAAAGACACAGAAAAGAGCAATATGTGCTCAGCAGGCAAGTAACAGGAACAAAATGAAAAGAATTAACTCCTCATTTTCAACTAAGTTTCAATACTGAAAAAGCAGCACCTATTAGAAGGGCTACAAGAGGCCTCAATCAAGGGATGTTTTAATATTGTACTTGTTACAAGGCTATATATCCAAACAAGCTTCTGTTATATCCCAGAAACAGAAAAAGTACAACAAGCACAGAAATGTGTTTTTCTGTTAAATAACCTACTTCTGGGAAAGGCCTGTTCACATGGTCCCACTTCAGGAGGTTCAGATAGGCCTGATTTTGTACAGCAGTGGAGCACAAGGCGGAAGCTCCACCAGTGGCCCCATCACTACTACAGTGGGGAGGCAACATTTTACATCTCAGCTTGACAAGATCATCTGCTGCTTCTTGCAACCACCTTGTGACAAGGTCTAAAGAATCTGCAGAGTAGTGGGAAAAAAGTCTTGTTACAAAAATTCCTTTTCAAAGTTAGGTTTCTCCACCAATGATTTCCAGATAATCCCATTAGTTACTAATGCCCATGATATCAGTTACTGACATGCATTTCACTTATTGCATTAAGCAGAACATCTAAGACAATTAAAATCATGCAGCTACAGGAAATCAGAGATGAGATGATGCCAGGTATTTATGCCCTATACCGTACTGAAATGGAACTAAACTGCAGTGTATGAAGTGGAGAACTGCTGTTCTGGCTGATTTTGTCAAACCATAGTTTTGGGGCACAAGCTGTCATTTACCACAGGAAATCTAGAACTTATGAAAAATCTGATTTCTTCTCATCACGTACAAGCAAAAGCATGCAGTTCACTGGGAGGGCAGAGGGGAAGAAAGAAAGGAACAAAGTCATACCTGGCCGTTTCTCAAGAAACTCCTGAAACTTCTTTCTTTCATACTCAGCAGACTGCTGCATTAATTTTGGCCTAATACTAGTGATAGCGAAGTTTGCCATATCCATTTTCATTAGGTCTAACACAGAGAAAATGGCTCTAAACAAACAAACAGAAAAAGTTATTCAAGGCTGCAGATGTTTAAGAGGTACTATTTACAAGATTGATTACAGACTCTGTAAGGAAAGAGCAGAAACATGCATGGGGAATGTTAACAGGATGCTTAACAATGTAAGAACATGGGGCAGAGCTGGAGCAGGCATGTGTGTGCATGTTTCTGTTCAAAGTAGGAAATAAATCTTGGTCTTCTGTAAAAATGCCTCCATGGAATTGACTTTACCAACTTGGGGGGTGGGGGGGAGGGGGAGAGGGAAAAGGGAAGAGAAGAGGGCAGGACTATTCAGCTGAGAACACAGTGCCAGAGCAAAAGGCTCTGGGTAGGAGAGAGAGCTCCAGTTGAGGGGAAAGGAGGAACTGGTTAGGGAACAGTAACACCTTTTTCCTATGCTGCTTCTCTCCCCACCCCCCCCTTCTGCTGTTGCTATTCATTCTAATACAAACTGCCCATTCACCTGCTATCTTACAGCTTATATGCACTTGGCATTTAAGAAAATGTCCTTCAGTGACACATGGGAGCCAAAAACTCCATCAGAACAAAGCTGGTCCTTGTTAAAGACCTCTGGAGTATTTCCCCCCCTTCACACCCACAACTACCTCCCTATCACTCCATTTTCTTACAGAGATTTGCAGGTTGCCCTCCTGGACCGGACCAGCCCTCCCTCCCCCCAGCCCCAATAAAATTATTGAAGGCACTCTCAATGTGACCAATCAATACCATGTAAGTACCTGAACAGAGGAACTATTTCATTAGTATCTTTCAGTTTCTTAATTTCTTCATCTCGAGCTGGAGCACAGAGAGTCCCCATCATCCCAATGACAAATTCAACCAACTTAGCAATATCAAGGGCCCCATTTTCTGCCTCCTGTTTTATCAAATCCAGATCAAGAACTTCTGTAATCTGGTTTCTCAGTCTAGTGTGACCAGGCAACAAGAAAGACAGGAGATTCTGAAATGGAAAGTTTTTAACAGTGTGTTAATTCTACACACCAAAGACTACTACAAGGATCAGAACAGTTACTGAACCACTTTTTATTTAAACTAATTGCCCTTTACAAGTGGATTTTTTTCCTTTTTTTAACCAACCATTCACAAATGTTTCCCCTCACTCTTTATGATACTGAAGTTACTAAATGGTAAATACTTTGCAGTACAGATACTACAGTCATAACATGAAGGAAGCCTGATATGAGAAAACTAGTTTTACTTTCCTTTTAATCCTCTTACATTGTTTTGCATTTGTTTTTAAATTCAAATTTCTCCTCTGGGGTTATACAACTTATATCTGTTCACAGATAATGATAACAGTAGTGAAAAAGATTAAGGAAGTCCTTCATGGAAAGCCAAACTTCAACCACCTGTGCTCATTCGTATCAACGCAGCTACTCAAGTTCAGTAATTTCCCTCGATATGACATCATCTTACCTCTTTAATTTCTCCCAGTAGTTTAATTGCGTGGTCATAAGTTGGTGGATCTTCCTTTAGCTGAGCTTCCAGACAGTCCCAGAAAGCTTTATGCACAATATCTCTTACTTTTTTCTCTAAGCTGTGGGTAAATACGACCAGTTAATAAACAACACTTGTCTCTGCACCACCTGACAAAGATAACCTGCAGCTCCTGAAGAACAGCAGATAAGAATATGAACACAGTGTAATAATGAATATATGCTGATCAACAGAGAAGAGATCTGTCATTTTAAGTTACGCAGAAAAGCGAGAAAAACTGGACACAGGGTTTGGGATGGCTTACATCCTAACTAAAGGTTTACACACAAGCAGAATTAGCTACAAATTAAAATCCTTGCAATTATTTAGCGCATGCTACCTCTAAATCAAACAACAGGAAGAAGAGAGATCACAAAAATTAGTTTTGTCTTCAAAAGACCAGAGAACCAGTATTCCTGTTATTTTCAAGAGCCTCACTAAGTAAATGCAATTCTATGAAGCAAAATTCATTGAGTAAACAGAGTCACTTTCCTGACACAAAAGCTTCTACATTTCAATGTGTAGATACTGCAACTACTCCGAGATACAGGCCCAGTCCAGTTTGTTCTACTGCTTCAGTACCAGTTCCTAATCCAGAACACTGGAAGTTACTCCTTTTCAGCCAGCAGGCTCCTGGTCACACCCAGTTTAACTTCAGCACGGAAGAAGCTCACAAAACCCAGCAGGTTCCCAAGGCTCTGACTGTGCAGCTGAGGTTCAGGCAGCACCCAGAGGCCTTTACGCCCTGTGGCCCTCTGAGGGCAACCAACATATGCTCTACTGACAGCATCTACAACTGCAAATACAGTCACAAGCTTCCTCCTCCAACCATGTCTCTACACATACATTCAAGCTGCAGGAGACTGTAAGCCTGAGACATACAAGAAAGGATGGAAAAAATAAAACACGCTAAAATCCTCCTTCTCTGAAAAATGCTGAGATCAGTTTTATGCCATTGAGGCATACCAGAAAAGTTATCCACTACCACAGCACATTTTCACATGAGAAATCCATCTGAAGGAACACAGAGCGGCAGCAGACGCTGAATACAACAGCACCCTCTTAACTGGGACTTTAGATGAAGCATTTATTCTCAGCCATCAGCTGCAAAGCAGAAAATGCCTGATGGAAGTGACACAAAAAGACGCTGAGACACAGAAGGTAAGGCAGAGTGGGGAGAAGGAGCTTTGCACACCTCAGGCATATTTTCCATACTCAAGAGAGCTCTTAGTTTATAGAGCCACATGACCTGCAAATAAGGCAGCAAAGCAGAAGTCTGTCTAACCACAGACAAGGCACACACTGACAGACAGTGCTGAGAAGAGAGATCAAATCACTACTTGAGCTCTAAAATATACATGAGTCTTCATGGACAACAGAGGTATCTAGCGTCATGTGCCGGCTCAGTTAAATACTGTTTGTCCTCAGCATTTGAGGAGGCCACCATTCCATTTCCTACCAACTGAGAAGCTGAAACAAGTGAAGAACATACAGCAAAGACCTTCATCTACTCCATTCAACCACAGAGGGACCCTGACACACTTGTGAGGTGGGCTGATGCCAATCTCATGAAGTTTAACCATGACAAGTGCAAGGTCCTACACCTGGGTCGGAGCAATCCCAGACACAGCTACAGGCTGGGCAGAGAAGAGATTCAGAGCAGCCCTGTGGAGAAGGACTTGGGGGTGCTGGTCAATGAGAAAATGAACATGAGCCGGCTCCAGTGTGCGCTTGCAGCCCAGAAAGCCAACCGTATCCTGGGCTGCATCAAAAGGAGCGTGACCAGCAGGTCGAAGGAGGTGATCCTGACCCTCTACTCTGCTCTCGTGAGACCTCACCTGGAGTATTGTGTGCAGTTCTGGTGTCCTCAACATAAAAAGGACATGGAACTGTTGGAACAAGTCCAGAGGAGGGCCATGAGGATGATCAGGGGACTGGAGCACCTCCTGTATGAAGATAGGCTGAGAAAGTTGGAGCTGTTCAGCCTGGAGAAGAGAAGGCTGTGTGGAGACCTCAAAGCAGCCTTCCAGTATCTGAAGGGGGCTTATAGGGATGCTGGGGATGGACTCCTCATTAGGGACTGTAGTGACAGAACAAGGGGTAATGGGTTAAAACTTAAACAGGGGAAGTTTAGATTGGATATAAGAAGGAAATTCTTTCCTGTTAGGGTGGTGAGGCACTGGAATAGGTTGCCCAGGGAGGTTGTGAATGCTCCATCCCTGGCAGTGTTCAAGACCAGGTTGGATGAGGCCTTGGGTGATATGGTTTAGTGTGAGGTGTCCCTGCTCATGGCAGGGGGGTTGGAACTTGATGATCTTAAGGTCCTTTCCAACCCTAACTATTCTATGATTCTTACTGAAAGGCAATTCCTGCTGGGGCCATGAGGTTCAGTGTATTTGATAGCATGAGCACATTTTCTTTGGTTACTATTGTTTAGCAGTCCACAGCCATTAATAAAACAGCAGTGGCACACTGGAAAGACAGCAACAGTCCAGGCGAGAAAGGAAGATGAGAATGTTCCCATTACTGCCTTTTCAGGCAGGGACAATTCAAGTTCCAAGCAACATCCTCATTACTGATGTTCATGAGAACCACCGTCACCATATTTTGGTGGAGATGGGCATCAGACCTTTTGTCTCAGAATGACTGACTTCTATAGAGGACAAGCAATGCCAGTCTTCTAAGATCCACCTGCATCATATTCTTCTGCAGCACCCATGAAGGCAACGTGCTCTGGGGCCTCTCTCTCACATGCAGACACCTACAGGCAACACTGGTTTCAATGTAGACCAAGATCCATCCATGAAACGTGCACTCACTCTCACAAATCAACCCAGGAAACATGGTCAGCCAGATCCCTCTGTGTGTGAAAAGAAAAGAACAGCACACAAAGGCTCTGTAGACAGGACTGGGTCAGCTACACTAGGCTAGTATGTGACCAGACATCCACGCAGCTTCTGTTTTCCCTTTCAGCAGGCGACAGAATTACTGTGGGTCAGACAGAGAAGGAAAGACTTCAAACTTAAAATGAGCAAGGACTAACCTAATAAAACACAGGAATCTCTTCCCAAAAAATCCCTGGAGAAACTGACAAAAAAAGCTAAAATGTTCACAATTTCATCTTAACTGCCACAGGTGGTGAAAGCTTCAAAAATGCTGAGAGCACCACCTGCATCTGCAGCTAGACTTGAGTACTGAGAAGACTGCAGTCTCAGACTCCAGAGACAAGGGGACACTGACAGAAACCCCAGTACCCTGGGATTTGTGCCCAAACAGTTACTCCTTTCACAAGCACACGTTTCTGGGGAAGCAGAACAGCATGATTACCACCTTCTCCTTGATACTAAGATACTAGCCAGAGCCTGTACCTGATCCACTAAGAGCTGTTCTGTAGTTTTACAAATGCAAATTTCATTTATGTATCTATTTGGTAGCAATCTTACCTGTGTTCTGGTAATTCAGCTGGCTTTATCTGGAAGTCTCCATTTACAACAATTTCGTGTGCTAATGCCATGTTGGTTACTCCCTTAGCTGTTTCCATGAGCTCCTCTATTGACACAGGCTGAGGAGGACTAGCTGCAACGTAAATGAAAGTGTCAGATAGTTACATAAAACTGTATGGATAAAAGTCTGCTAACACTTTCGGACCCTTTCCACCTTCTTTACAGTACAGAGGGACACTTGAAGATTCTCCTTTCCTTCCCTTCCCAGCTGGGGATAACAGAGTTTGGAGTACTACAGAAAACAAAGGAGTGAACCCCAGTTGATATTCTAGGCTCAATATATCAATTGCTTCCAAGTTCTACCAAGATATTTTAAAAAACAACCCCCCAAAATCCCCATACCCAAACCCCCACTTCTTCAGGACTGCTTAATAGTACCTTAGCATCTTCTTCCATAGCGTAGGAAGAAATCATTAAAAACACTAGCATTTTCACCCACTGTTTCCTCAGTTATTGTGCTGATGTTGCCATTTCAATGTTACATTTTTCAAGGAAGTGACTTCATCTCTAAAGCAGTCAGCAAACAAACGACCATTAACATTAAGCAATAACACACTAGTAGCTAATTATTCTCACTACTTCCAGTGCAACAGGCACTTCTCCAGACTCTTTCTTTCTTTTCCCTCCAGAAGCCATGGTCCAAACAATAAGGACATCAAGACCTAGTCCCAGCACCATTGCCTAAGACCTTTTCCTTTGGCAGGCATTTGGGACAGACAAGGATGAGCAAGCAACTGCAAATTGGGCCCTGGGGCATAAAAGCAAGTAGGAGGAAGCTCTAGACCTGGAAAAAAAAAGAAGTCAGTTTTCATTAGGCAGGAAACAAAGGTAGTGGCTGACTGTACAAATCTAAAAGGTAGAAGAGGGACAGGGACAGCTTCAGGAAACTTAATATGCACTGGGAATTATGGCTCCATTCTGGAGTATACAACATCCTCCGGGGGCACTAATGACATGGCGGTAGTGCAGGAAGTGACACAAAGGCAGAGAAGGTGCCAGGGGTGTAGGCCATGCTGGTTAAGGGGGTAATCCCATCCCCACTGAAGCCAACCGAAACCTGTTGCTGCTGATTTTTTGTGGTAAAGGTTTCCCCTAGCATCAGTGAAGCAGGGTGTGGGGGTGCCCTTCGATGCCTTGCCAAATGTCAGGAGAAGCACCGTAGCTCTTCCCAGGTCCAGGTGTTTGAGGAAAAGGAAAAGGTTAAAGCCTTGGTGTCCTCAGGTGATGCAGACAAGAATGGAAAAGTTCACCTCGGCTTTCACAGAAAACATCTGGTGGAGCAGGACAGGGGAAAGAGCCACAGCAGAATTGCCCTAATAGATCAGTTCCTTTCCATAGTTCATTCACTTCAACTAGAGTCCTGGCATAGGAGCAACATGCTAATTCACAATATGGAAGAAACCAACCAGGGATCTTCATAGGCTGGGTTCACTGAGGTATGTTTTAGGCAAACTATCATGACAGCCTCATTTGCTAATCCAATTTGACTGGACTTAAGCTAGTAACATAGAAAAGATCCTGTAAGAGTAACTGTCCATCACTTGTCTGCCACTCGGAGCTGTTCCAAGTATATACTGTGAGGCTCCAATGTGTATTTTTTCATTCATATCTTGCTCATTTTGTGCAGCCCTCCCAAACCCTTATTTCCTTCAACTTGCAGCTTAATCTTCCACAGTGACTCTGGAAACACAGCAAGGATTATCCTTGGATATCCTGAGAACTAGCAGGACAACAAAGTTCAGAGCTGAATGGGAGTGCTCTTGTCAGACTGCCAAATGATGTCACCCTAGCAGAGGATGCACTAAAAGCTAAGCCTCTTTAATTTATCAAAGAATGCTCTTAAATCGTTACTTCATCCTCTTATTGTATCTGCTCCCTTACAAAAGGGGAGAGACCCATGATTACTTTGTGGTACAGTGCAGTGCAAGACTGTGCTGTGCATTTTACTTTCCTGTGTTCATAGCATCTCTCCACACATACAACTCGTTTCCTGTCAGGCAGCCAGTAAGTCACAAGAACATAAACTCCCTCAGAACATCTCTGTGTAACATAGCACTAAACCACAACACTAAACCTCAAGTAGTAATGAAGACTATTAATAAAAGGAATGCAATAAATATTTCCTGCTGAGACACTCTCTACAGTAACTCTCAGGTAGTTATCTGAGCAACTCTGCCTCTTTGAATTGAATCCCTGGGACCAGAAAACTTTCTCTTACTTTTATCTACAGATTTGCTAGAAATAATTGGTAACCATATTGCATCCAGCTCCTCATGTCAAAAGCTGAATGACAAATATGACTTAGGAATAAATTTAAAGTATGCAGTCCTGCTTGACACTAGAAGTCATATTAGGACTAAATGTACAACTTTCTGTTTGCGTTATGAGAGGGATAACAGGACATAACTTTGTTGGTAACAGCTTCTCTTGCCCTGCAGTAGAAGCAGAGGCTGCTCCACCAATCCAGAAGGTTCAGCTGATAATGCAAACAGCGGTGGCAGTTTAGCTGGAACACACTGGAGTTGTGCTTATCCCTTCCATGAGTGCAGACATGCAATGGTATACATGGCTCAGAATAACATGGCTATTGTGTACAGTTAAGTACTAAAAATGGGGGGAAAGGTGTTGGAAAGTTTCAAAGTCATTTTCATAAAGCAGTTCTGCTTACACTTTGGCGTATCATCTCTGTGTGATCCTAAAGCACTCTGTCGTATTCTTTTTCTGACAGATTGATCCGGGTTGTCCAAGCTCTCCTCTTGACCATCCCCCAAATCACTCGACTTTTCTTTGCTTGATGGTGGCTTGTCAGGATTCTGAGACATTTTCAGTTGGCTCTTTTCAGAAAAAGAAAAGAAGATGAAAAAGGGAATGAATAAGCATTTTCTGACAGGGCTGAGTGGGGAAATATCACCAGGATTTCCCTTGATTAAGAAAAAACGAAGAATGAAAGAATTCTCATGAGGAATTACATTATGTCATTCCCATAATGGTAGGGGACCTGGACTTGATGACTCACTTCCCATCTTACACAAAATGAGATGCTTCCAGTACAACTACCATTTACTAATCTCCATTCCCACAAGTTCTCAAAAGTCTGAAACTGTTCCCTTGCCATAATGCATACAGATGAGAAAGTGATTTTCTTTCTTAGCAGTGCTTATGAAATTACTGAAAAAATACTATTAGAAATACGTCTTACAAAAAGATTATGCCAGATACTTTTCCAACACAAAATGACAAACCTGCCTGACTGCAACAGACCCCTGGACTATGGTCTGCCCCAGCAGCTCGTAACTTGGAAGTTTTCACTCTGAGCCACCCAAAAGCGTTAAGAAGCAGGAAAAGAACTGGAGTTTAATTAATGCGGAATTCTACTCCCATGTTTTCATTCCATGCAAGAATCACAATTTATGCATTTAAAAAGCAAACAAACACCACATTGCAACAGTAAGGTACATAGCTATAGTATTTTAAGTATTTATTAAACATTAGATATTGAATATTTCTATTACATCACAGATACCAGCAGTGTACCCAAAGTTACACCGCAAAAATGACCATTAAAAAAGCATGTCTCACTGTTCATTATCGTCACTTATTTCACATCCAGCTTTCCCTCTGAAGGACATAATTTGCACATCTTCCCATTGAAAACTCTCCATCCTACAGGAAGCTAACAGTTTCAGACTTCAGTTTTACAGAATCTGTTGAGAGAGCATACAATGTCTCCAGCTGAATTAAATAACCTTCATGTCCTGTGAAGGGCGAAGTCAGGAAGAGTGTGCCTTTCAAATAAAAAAGGAAAGCTCCTGGAAAGCCACCACTGTCCTCTTTCACCCAGGATCCCACCATTCCCACTTTCCAAATTGAAAGAAACAAGCTCTCAGCAAGAGAGTTAAAAATACTTGCAACTCCAAAGACTACACTGAGGAGGATGCCGCATAAGCAAGCAACAGGTTCTTTCCATTTCATAGAAGAGCTGTAATAAGTAACCCTGCTCCATCAGTGCTTAAATTGATTGCACCGATGTGATTCTAGAAGACAGCTGGAAAGCTCAGTGCACATAAGAAATGGTTTTATTCTACAGCAATGACTCAGGATCATCATCTTGCATGAGATACACAACAATACGCGACGCTTGTCCACAGAACCGGGTGAGCTCTACTTCAGAAAAGAAAACAGCATGGGATATAAAGCATGGGATGAATTACACAGGAAAACGAAGACATCAGTACAGGTGTTGTCAGAACCATATATCAGCCGCACCTCTAGCTGGAACGGTCACTGATGTCTCTGCTCCAAATGCTTGATCATCCCTCTTCACAAAGGCAGGCAATCCCAACTGGGACAAGTGACAACTTGTCACTGTCACTTTTTAACTAAGGCAGGGAGATCCTCCAGCTAGGTGTAACACAAGGCACCCAATGCAGCATGCAAGTGGGAAACCACTGATGTGCTCCAGGAGAAGTGAATCTCCAGTCTAGCAGACAAGAGGTCTGTTACTGCAGATGCTCTAGCAGCAAGACAGGAAGAAGCTCTGTTAATAAAGGAGCAGTTAACAGAAAAGATCAAAGCAGTAGCTGCAATAGAAAATGTAAGATACGACTCGTTAAACAGAGGAAGGAAATGTGCTGTTGAATTTGACTAGAATAAAAGCATTACCATAAAACCTTCCATATTCATTCAACCATACTGGAGGGTTGTTCCTATCCGTTCTCTTCCACAAAGCATCCTCCTGAAGTCAAAACCTGAAGCACAAAGATGGCTCAACTAAGACCCACTTAGGTCTTTAATGCACATGACACTTCACAGTGCCTTGCAGTTTCAAACTGTACTTTATCCTCACTGCCCTTACAAAGGTATATACCTACCTTACAGAGGGGAGATCGAGTCATGCGTTAAGTTGTTTGAGGACTCTCAGAAGGTAATTGATAAGAACAAGACAATAATCAGTCCCATGATTACTACTCCCTGCTTTGCCCACCAGGACACGATTCCTACCATGCAGGCTACATCCTCAAGTATCACATTCCATAAGGTGGCAGACCAAGAGCTACAGTCTCAAACCCAACAACTTCATTTAATTGCCATTTATTTAAGAAAAGAGTCCTGCTTCAGCTGTGGAAAGTGGGTACGAGAACTGCTGGACTGTTCTACCAAATGACTGCTCAGAGATGACGTGAAACAGGCACACTTGTTGGCTTAGCTGCCTAGTCTGTAATAATTGCTCTTTTCTGCTGGACTACTACTGTTATTTGCTGGAACACACCTAGAACACATCCTCTTTCCACTGGGTAAGTAAGCTTGACAATGCCTGTTCTAAAAGCATGATCATCATCTCTTCTTTCACAGAAACAATTCTGAAACAGAACAAAGTCCACTGCTCAGTGCTTTATTTTTAATAAAAACAGCAGTGCAAGAGAAAACCCAACAAATTAAAATTTAAACAAAATATTTCCACAGGTTGTTTTCGTCAAAGGTCCTCAAATCATCCGAGGCACACCGATATTAAACAAACTTCACGTGGAGCACACACAAGACTGAAGCAGCTCCACTCATCTGCCTCGTACGAGACCTGATAACTCCCTTACCTTCAGGCCAAGCACATGCACCCTGAAGGCCACTTTTCTTCAAGCTTGATTCCAACACTTAACTCTTTTCCCTGCCTTCTGTTCTCCCACCACAACACAACCTACTTTCCCTCACAATCCACCATAAGGCAAGCTGCATCTCAGCTCCTCTGTCCATCTTACACATTCAAAGGGATGCTTGTGGACTTCTACCATTTCCCCTACCTACAGCTTCCTCCGTGCACGGCCATCCAAGACCCGGGCTATCGGCAGGCTCGCTCTCAAGGAAGGCACCGTCAGGAAACCCCCGCAGCAGTGTTAACCTCCCAGCCCCTCACCCTACCCAGGGCCGGGCACCCATTTTCCTGCACAGGGCTCGGCCCTCTCCCCGCACTGCCCGGCTGGGGGCTGGCAGCAGCTCCACCCACAGCTGCCACACGAAAAACGGGCCCCGGCGCGCAGTCCGGATGTGTTTGCCCGCACGCCGAACGGCCGGGGCACAGCAACGCCGGGGAGGCGACAGCCTCCTTCTGCCTGCACTGCACTGCACTGCACTGCACTCCAGCGAACAGGCCCCAGCAGCAGCCCCCGCCCGCGCTGAGCCCAGGGCCCTCTCCCCCCTCCAGGCCTAACGGCGGCCTGCCCACCGCCGCTTCAGGACGGCGCAGCCACCCGGGGCACGCCACGCCGCCGCCACCGCCTCCTTACCGCCGCTCGGAGGAGCCGCGGCCCCCGGCTGTAACGGAGCGGGCGGCCGACCCCACCCTCCCTGCCGGCCGCCGCCGCTAGGCTCGGCCCCAGCGGCTGCCCAGGGCCTGGCCCGGCGCCTCCCCGTCCCTCCGCGCGGGGGCGGGGCGAGGCGAGCAATCACCGCCCCTCCGTGCGTCGATGTTGGGGGGGGGGTACCCCTCAGCGTGGGGCCAGAGGCTCAGTGCGTTGGTTAGGGTGCGTTGTGAGGGGAGTGGGGGGCTTGCATCTGCTTCAGGAACCCTGACTCCTAGCAGTCACCTCTGGGCCAGAACAAGGGCTGCACGTCTGCAGCCTCCAGCCAGGCTCTAGCACAGACAAATAGGTGTCTGCTCCTACCACCTTGCCCTTCTTAGGTTAAATCCACCCAGCAACCAGGGAAAGCAGCCCCGGCTTTCTGTTGCTGTCCTGCTAGCGCATATTCACTTACAGACACCTTACCCACCGCACACTGTGACCATCAGTCCCTTCTAACTTCCATCTCAGGTACTGTTACGTAAGCCTCTGATGCTGTGCCTATCAGAATGCTCCCGAACATCACCTGGTGCCAGGCTCTTCCCCACAGCCTGCATTTCCGTAGCCCAAAATCATGCTTCGCACCAAAGCCAACCCAGTGACTGCACAGTGCACCGCTATCTGTAATTAAGAGTTTGCACTCCAGCAGGCAAGGGCCATAGACAAGACCTCATTTTAAAGATAGAAAACAGATCCTCTTAACAGTAATGGTGGAATATGTAGAAAAAGGGAACATACCTCTGCTGAAAAGGCAACCCATGCATAAGTAACTTCAAAAGATGATCAAGAAACTGCCTTTCCACCCCCACGTTTTAAAGTGCGAGTTAAGCCACTTTTCCCAAAAAAAGTGCCTTTATAACCAGAAGCCTTCAATTGAAACCAAGAACTAAAAAAAGTAACTACTGAAGAGTAAGGGTTAGACATCAACCCGTAGTATTAGTGTTCAAGAACTGGTTGTCTTTCAGAAGCCCTTTCTAACTGACTAGAATCAGCCTCTTACACATTTGTCTTGCATCCCCCACCAGAGTACAGTAACACGTTACTCTCTTGCACACCAAGTTGTCATCTCGCATTCAGATAAAGTACTCTGGAGAAACAATAGCCAGTGGCAACAGACACCGCTAATGACTGCAGAGTTACTCAGTGGGACATTACAGAGTAGTATCTCAAATAGGACTGTTTATAAAAATAGCCCACCACATGCATTTATAATTTAGCACTACTTCTTTTTCATTATTAAATTACCACTGATCCCAATTAAGACAGCTTTTTCCCCCCCAAATACAAGAGAACAGAGCTCTATCAACACTGTATATGGAACAGTTTTTGATTTCTTGCAATAGTGACTGTAAGGGAGTTTTGCTGGCATTACCCCTACAAGAGGCAGCCCCACATGAATCACAATTAGATCTCTAATCATACTATATTTTCCCTGCTTGCAGTTGCCTGTGTTGCACAGCTTGAGACTACCAGAGTAGATATAGATAAAATAGAAGAAAACCCAAAGGCCTTTCATTTGTTCCAGCTCTTTTCTAATTACTGCTGGTGACATCAATTAAGACTTACAAACAGCAAAACACTGCAGAAATGAAAATAACTAGCCAGAAACAGTATGTTCTGTGGCAGCCAAAGCCAAACTGACTAAAAATCCAGAATATCTTTATCATCCCAATGGGAGTTCAGGGTACACAACAATTCCTCAATACAGTGCCCTTTAGCTTAAAACAGCATAGTAATTTTTCCATATACGCACACAGTATAGTTAAGCTGGCAAGCTTGAGGAAAAGCTGTGGAGTGTCAAGCAGAAGGCATTACTCAGCTCTGTCCACAGCACAGCAAGTCAAAGATCAATGCTCCATGATAGTCACAAATGCAAGGGCAATTAGAAAAAACTGTTCAGCAAAAGTTCAGTACTGGGGTAAAGGAAGGCAGAGGTCTTGCTCACGGAGGGGTCTCACCAATTTTCATATTTAAATAGAGGGAGGCAGTAGACTTGGCTTTAGGTGAGGAAACGAAGGATTATTTTGGACCTACAGCAAGTCAGAATGAGCAAAGCTGAATTGTAAGAATGGGCTAAACTTTGGTACTGTTGGCTTTGGTAATAATTGTATAAAATTCCATCCATTGCCACAAAATAATTTTATTAGATACATGAATACAAAAGATTTACAAATATATTAGTGTTTTCAATGCTGGAATATAGAAAGCAATCTATTTGTAAAATCAAACATACATATTAGTAACTCTGTCTCCAAAATACTGCATAAAAATACTTGGATTGCTACTGTGAAACTGACCTAGCAGTCTCTTTCTCTCTTTGTCAGAGAGCTTTGAATCTTCATCAATAGCTTTCAATAAAGATAACAGCTCATCTTTTGTGGTCTTCTCTGTAGTGGAGCGATACTCTCTTTCATCAAGTTTCTGGCAAAAAGTATAGCCTAAAAAGGAAACATGAGGCATTCAAACAGTTAACACCACACAAGATTCTACAGACCCATCCTCCAGAGTCAAATTAGTCATTGTTACAGCAATGTCTTTGCACATGATCTCAGTCCCTTTTATTTCTATTTGGGTGCAAGACAATAAAAAGTTCTGTTTAAGGTATTACCTGTTACGTTACTCGGATCTTGACCTTTTTGCAAAGCCAACAGTTTATTGCTGACCATTTTATGCAGTGTCCCTGGGATCTTGAACAGAAAGAGAAAACAGTTAAACAGCAGTTTAGGAAAAGGCAATTCTGCATAAGCGCACCAGATAACAGAAACATACTGGTCACCTTCTAGCTCTTACCTTTAACACATCTCTTTGGTGGTCCACAAGGAACAAGATCAGGAGGTCAGTTTTCCCTCTGGATAACGTTTTATTGTTGATAATAGCCTTAGAGAATGTTCTTTTCACAACCATCCTGTTGTCACTCTGAAGAATAATGTGAAATAAATGACCAAAAGAGGAGACTTAGTCTCCTCCTTCAAGAAGGGCATTACTTTTGGATTTGTACAGCCATTGCTTTTCCTGCAGTCATGTATCTAAGCTACAAATGTGTTTTCTGACCAGTATCTGTGATTTCAGTAACTGTAATGCAACATGTAACAGTTAAGTACACACATTTACCTCCTCCTGTAGTTTGAGCTCAGAATTATGTGCTGCAACAGCCATGAAGTACAGTAGTCTTCTGAACTCCTCCCTGATTTGGCTGTCTAGGAGTTTCAAATAGAGTTGAACAGCTTCTAAAGATTGCTCCATCTTCCCATTCACTGGGGAGAGATAAAAGTATCTATTGCCATATTTACTTAAATAAATGTTACAATGGAACACCTAAATTAGCCACTGTTCACATCTCTAGATGGAACTGGTCAAACAAAGCAGTTCATTCTCATAAAAATTCCTCCCAGGCTGATTAGAGCTGTTTGCATACAATGGGAGAACAGCCCACACCCAGGTTTGCATTCAGACAACTCACTATCAGTTAAGTTCAGTCGCAGTTCAGCCATTCTGAGTGGCATGTGAAACACTGAAAAAGGAAAGGGTTTCAGTTAAATGAACAACCTCTTGTTCTGGAAATAATCATCTTGCAAGAAATGAGGAATGCGTCCCAGATAAGCAAGCTAGCTCCATGAATTAATTGCAAACCATTTTGTAAAGCTTCCTAAGTTTTAATTTGCCACACTATGCAGAATAGCCACTTTGGATATGTACTAGTATCCTCCCTTTATCACGTAGGGAGGAGGAATGGGATATAAATGCAAACTATTCCCACCAACAAGAATAATAATCAAGGTGGAAAAGGATGAAAAATAAGGAGAACAAGGATGAGATGATGTTAACTGAGGACTAAAACATGAACAGCTTTCTAAAATGCTGTCTTAACATGAAATCTAAGAAGCACATTTCTGTTGAAAAGAGGGGAGAGTTGCAAATGGGGTAGTACAAAGCATACACACAGCTTTAAGTTTAGATATTATAGCCTAAATATTTAATATTAGACCATATTTATTTAATTTCCTGTGGATATTTACTTTCCATGGATACCAACTGCCAAATTATAGCACTCCAGTTTCACAGCCATTCTACATAGGCCTGAACAAGAACTACAGAATTGCATACAGTCAGGACCAAAATTTCGAAGCACAGCCTTCATGACTAGAAAGCAAAAAAGCCCATTGGCTTGAAGTCAACTTTTAAGCTTAGCTGCTGTAGTAAATACTTAGTTTGTCAGTGCATCTCGCACATAAGCTTCGGAATGCAACTTTATTTTACTTACCTAGTAGTTCTGCAATTCCTGAATGAATTTCAGATGCATGGCTTAACAGTGGCTCCTTTTTTTGGCCATAGTATCTACCAATATTTTCAAACAGCAGTAGTTTCCATGCGTCTGCTTTGTCTGGTTGATCAGGCAAGTTCCTGCTAATATCTACCACCATATGATCTGGAAGATATTCCAAGCAATCTATTGCTGCTGAGAGCCATTCGTCTGTCCTAGAAGACAGAGTGGTTTAACTTTGTAGCATTACTTTATGATGCCTTTCAGAGTCGCACTGTTTTCCACAGAAAGCAGGTAGACTGGTTTCTTAGTCACAGTGAAAACTGCTTGTGTAGGTACTTAAATATATCAGAAATTGACACAAAAAACAAAAAAGACTTTTCCTGACACACTATGGTAGATCACAGCCATGTATCTCCGTTAGGTATTTAATCAAGATAATTAGTAATCCACATAAGTAAACAGTCACGAGCAGTTAAACCTAAAGTTAGTCATGTCCTCTACTGTTAGACAAGGACATAATTATTGCTAGATAAGCAGAAACATGAACCTTAATCAGATTCAGATTGGTAAATTTTCCAGACTATGCTTTAAACTGTCTTTATATACAGTTTCATGTTCAACATTTTTGGCTCTTACTGTAGTAGGAGAAACTGAACTATTTCCCTCAAGTATTTTTTTAATAGAAAAATTTTGAATGTCACAGCAAAATGCTGTGTTCTTCCCTCAATGC